ATAACCTATGAATTTAGTACAACGGATACAATAATAATAATATTTTTTTTTTTCGACAAACACTATTTGATCATTTAGCAAATGCGATGGATAATTTGATAATGCTGGCCACGATTCGGATCTTGGACCATCCAGCCTAATTTACTTCCTTATATAAGCTTGATCAGGTAATTTCTTACTTAATGAAATGAAGCCTCACTCAATTATTCATAATGGGATAATTCGTTTTTATCACTACTGAATTATGAAGGAGAATCTGAGTTGAATCTCACACTATAAAAGCAAAGAAAACAGGTGGGCAAAAATTTCTTGAGACCAATTAAGATGGAAAAAAGAATTCTGTAAATTGAAAATGATTTTTGTTTTAAAGCGAAAAAATGAATCTATTAATGCTATCAGGGATGAAAAAGAAACTTATAACTCGTTTTGAGCAAAACAATTGACACAATTTATGTCATTTCATGTCAAAAGTTCTTCACGGAGTTACGTCAAAAACAAAACTAAACTTTACTGAAAAGAACAATTTCATGTGATGAAGCATGCAAGGTTCATGATAAGTTATGCAGTACTCTATTTGTGCCTTCTCAAATTGGTTGCAACCCTTCCGGATTTTCTCTGTGTTAGAGTATACATTTAAGAGAATAATAACAGTGCTATAGAGATTAATGGTTATAACTGAACCTTGGACACCGATCAAAGCTCACTGATTAACAAGTAATGATTCGGAATAGTTGGATCAAAAATGGCGATAGAAACCCAGCGACTGCGTTTATTGAAAGCCTACCGAAAGATGATGGATGGCTCGAGTAAAGTGACCTACAGGGTACTGACCAGTAGTAGCGTGAGATTATCTCCGGGGATCACTGCTTGTGGTACTCTATATGAAATGATGGCCAGAAGTAGTCAAGCAGTACTGATCAATGGAATATTAATGTAACAATAATAGGAAGCTAGAGAAGAGAAGGGTAACGCACTAAATCATGAACAGTGGAGTGGATAGTGATGAGGCGCAATTCGTTCAAGAAGTGAGCTGAATAGGAATCGAAGGGAGTGACATTCGGAGATTTGCAATGACTTGAAAGCCAGGTGATACATCCATCTCTCACACAGTACATCTCAGTAGCGCAGTCAGTAAGGAAAAGCAAGGAGTTGATTCGTCATTGTTTCCTATTGTCGTCCTTACAACAAACATTTAGGAAATCATTCTCGTCAACAACGACCTTCACTGTACACACACAATTCAACACATATACACCACACACTGTCTGGCGCAACTGGTGCAGTCTGTCTGCGCTATGTAATGCTTGTACAAAGATGACTGGTCGCCAGGTAGGGGAGAGCTGAGTCATTTGTCATTTTGTTGGAGACATGGAGTGGGTGGTAATGCTGGGGTGCGTGTGATATTACACTGATTTCAATTTATATGAACTCACAGATTGTCATTGTTTCACTGGTGGTGGACATGGGTGACAGATCGGGATAAACTCTCATTACGTTGAACTGAAAGTAAGTATGAAAAGTTTCGATAAAATGCACATTATCTTGCATCTATAATGCGAACTTCCTGCGTTTGAATTCGAATTACAAATGCAGTAAAATAATTTTTCACTCAAAAATTTCGAAAAATTGGGTTGCATAATGATTTATTCCATGTTTTCTTTTTTAAAAATTTTAAAAATATTTGAAGTTGTAAAGCCGAGAGAAGTCAAATGCTATCGAACTGTACTTCCGTTCTGTTAAAATCTCGTCAAATTCGGCAAAAATTAAAATGTTGGTAACTACAATCTTTCAATTAACTGACAGGTAATTTGAATCGAAAAATGGCTGTATCTTTTACAGGCTGTGGTCTATCCATACATTTCCATTGCTTAATCTGCTGTTATAAGCAATACAAAACAATCAAGCGTTGACACGAAAATATGTCTTGAGATTGATCACCAAGTTTAAATTTTGGCCAAAAATTTTAAGGATGATGTGGTCAATTAAATTCGTTAATCGTAAAGCAAAGGCTAGATTTTAATTCCATACTAATGATGATGTCAATAGAAATGAAAGTGGGGATGAGTTTACTTGTGAAACAAATGAGTCTGAGGATATGTGTGCCATGATAAGGGAAAGCATACTGATAAATCCTGAACGCATCTCCATCCATTCATTTTAATGTGATAATGGTATGCAATGAATTAAGCTAACGAAACCGTTTGCCGTTTCTATAGTCACTGTATCCTTACTTTGTTGGACTTTATTTCCTTAAGTATTTCAGAAACATTAAAACATACTAACATAAAAATATATATTTCAAAAACCAAGTGAAAATATATTTTTTTCCAGTTGTTTCATTATTATAATCTGATGTAGTGTCAAGGCAACCGAAAATTTACATCCGCGACATTCCACCATAAAAAGTCCTGCCGAAGATTCCAATGCCATATAAATTGATCGCTAACATTAGCCAGGACTCATGCTTTTTTGTGCATCTTTTCATAGCACAAATTACTGGATAAATTTTATTCAGCTCTTGAACTTTCAAATTCCTCGAATTCTTAAAAATCTCATTCTCGATGATGGAACATGAACAACACACTTTCTTCCATCTAACATCGCATTTTTGCTACTACTAGAAATTCCCATCCATAGCAGATCGCTGACAAAATCATAAAAACTTCCGACTCGTCCCTTTGCACTCTGGCAAACAGAAACATAGGCTGACATGTCAACAAGAATACATTTTATATGTCTTGTGGTAATACCAACATGATTCTGCTTGAAAATCAAAAAGTGTTTTTGCAAATTGAACAACAATTTTTTATTCGTGTTATTCATGCAATATGAAAAGAAAATAATACCAAATATTATTTTAGAAAGAAGGGAATTGAACAACGATTCTTGAATATCTTTTTTGCTCGCAATGACGGTTGAAATCTAAAAGAAAAAACAATTTTGTCCTAATAATTTTTCGATAAAAATTTTTTTGTGCGATAAAATTTGAGAAATTTATCTGGGAATAAAATGCGAGGAATTTGAAACAATTACCAAAATAGCAAATTTTTATAAATCTACCTGAAAGCATTCCCGAACAAAAGATATATTTTGCCTTCCAGTGCAAACTGAAATATAGTATCTTGCTTTGGAATAGCTAAAAACATAATAATTAAACAAAAAAGTGAAGGAAAGAACTTCAAAAACTCATTTACCTTCTAAAAAACATCCAATAAAATATCATGAAAAGAAGAACAGAATATAAATCATGGAAAAGAAAAAATAAAATTGTATAAGAACCGATCTGTTTAAACGAACTTAGCAAGCGGTCTTGTTTTGTGATCAGCATGAAGGTTTGCCTAGTTTCACGAATCACAATGCCACAAATACCGACCTAGAATGGACCAATAAAAATTTCTTGCTGTTTTATTAGAAGTTAAGAATACAGCAAGCTAGACGCTTAAATTCTCGTTGACAAAAGTACCTGAGTTGGATTAGCAGCCTCGACAATCATCAGCAGACATCCATGATAATCGGCTTTCAACATTCGAGCATCCAACTGACCATTGGATCCATTAATTAGGGTACTGAAATAGTCACACCACAATTCATAGAGCGGTTCGAATTGCGAATATCTAAATCGAACAGTTATGAGTTATGAATAAAACAGAATTTATACTTCGATGCTATTAAAAAACTCAAATCTCAACCTAGGGTGCTACTATTGTAATTCCAGTTTTTACTGCCAGCCGCACCATCTACCTACTATGAACAGTAGTATACTAATCATTTCAGCAGACATTGTACTTCATCAAAAACTAAACTATCATGTACCACCTTTAAATTAAATCAGATCCAACAGAAGTGCCCTGTGTGCACTCGAGAAACACAAAGAATTTAAGGTAATACTTCAAACTCTTCATATCACTTCTGACAGTTCTTCTTTTTATAAAACTCTCTATCGGCTGCCGATGGATTTTGATCTTCTTCTTAATCCGTTTTTCCAAAATGAAAATTTTATGCGGGTTCAGTGGTTCAAACAAAGTACAAACTTCGACACTCATTTCCCGAACTTAGAACGAATATCCAGTACCAACAAAACCATAAAACAAATTAACAAATATACCTAGAATTTAGTAGCACACTTCAACATATTTTTGGAATTTCAAGACTTCAAAACACAGCGACACTTATGAGTTATAAATCCACAGATTCCAATATTAAGTGGAATATTTACAATGGAATTTTGATCCACTTTTGTTACTTCCAGATCATCGTTAAAAAAATTCGCAAATATGAAACAGAAAAACTCAAAATTTAGAAAATAATAAATACGAATAAGTGAACCAAACACGACCGTTCAACATGTATGGATGCAAGTATAATAACTGAAAAGAGTAACAAATTTTTAATCAAATTTTATTTTCCATTTTACATTGCAGAAAAAACATGATACTGACTGCAAATATAAATAGAAACTAATGTGAAATAATAAACGAGCTAATAACTATCATTCTTTCTAACATGAAATATTCAAAAAAAGTCCAGACAGTTAAAAACACCAAAGAGAAAAAACACAGAACCCCCATTCTGACAGAACTGTTATCAAATATCACATTTTTTTAAACCTCTCTTCAAATCCATATCAGCAATTAAAATAACAATGTCATCTTCAAATTTCACTACAGAAAAAAAAGTGGGAACAACTGAATGAGAGCAAAAAAGTTCACTTCATTGAAAATTTATTCCTGACTTCTATAAAGACATGCAGCACCCTCAAAAGTTCTAAATTCCACACTTCTTAAAAAATAAAATAAAACTAAAAAAAAAAAAATCAACGCAAATAAGGCGGTTTAAAACCAAAAAATTGAAAGTAAATTAAAATAGTGTTCCTATGAACATATGCATGTGCTTACAAATAAATTATATCATAAATAACAATACAAAGATATGAAACAAAAAACCTTCACCACAAAAATACTCCAAAAGACTAGATAAGAAATATCATAATTTATAAAACTTCAAATAACTGGCCGACTACGCTTACGAGCTATTGCTTCTTCAACACATTTCAATTGACGCAGCAACTCAGCACGCCTTTCCTCTTTTTCTGCTTCATTATCCACGTAATCATCATCTGAAATAAACATAAAATGAGAAACAGAATTATCATAATTTCTAGACAGTATATAAAGTTTAAGGAAGAGTAACACACCATCGACCCTTGACTCGTGACACTCCGCAACTGCTTTTCTTGAAACTGGTCGTGAATTTCCAGCCAGTACTTTCTTTGAATGGTGTACAACTAGTTCATGTACAGATGTATCGGAGACAATCTGAAGTAACGCTTTCAAAGCTCAAACAAATTCCGCAAAAGGAAGGAATGATAAGTTAAGCAGCCATTAAGATGGCTCTTAATGCAGTCTCATTTGCGGTAATTTTCCACTGAATCTAATACGACAAATGTATTCTTCGATCATCTTAACACTGAATTTCATTATAACAGATTAGTTCTGCATATTTTATGTGCAGGTAAGAAAATGTAGAAATTATTACAAAGTAAAAATCACCTCTTCCTCATCGCTAGAAACATCTTCTGCTGCAGCTTCAGGAGATAGCGGTATTCCTTCAGTGGGCAAACCATCATCGATTTTTTTTTTCAGACGATAAGCTGCAGGCTCTGCATCATCACTACTGCTACTTGAGCTCCTTAAATTTCTACCACATAAATTTTTTTTAACATTCATTTATAATATATTTTGAAAAAAAAAACTATTCAAACGATTCACCAACAAAAGAAAATATAAAATGGTTTTTTATTTAACCACCTTCCTGTAAACAGCTGTTATCAAGTCATACTTTCGTTACAGTTATGATTACTCATCTTCGGTAATGCCAAAACTGCTGTCCAGTACTGTATAACATTTAGTTGGAACCCATTTTTAAGTTGAAACATTCACGTTATTAGTAAATGTTCATTATTCACAGATATACAACAAACTTTATGGTATCTGTAACACTTCTGGCATATACGTATCAAGTTTTCAAATTTAAGAACGAAAGAAGCTAAACATCATTTAGCCAGCGATACGGACTAACCCAGAAGTGCTCGATGAACTTTCATCACTTGAAATATCGTCTTTTCCTGCGAACAGAACATTGCGTTTATAAGCTCTATTGGTACGACCGGTAATTCCTTCCACTCTTTTTATCCCTCGCTGCGCAATTCCAGAGCGAAGCAACGGACATAAAGAGGGTCTGAACTTACTGCTAGATGATAAGCAGCAAATAACAAATTAATTAACAAGGAACCACTAAAGATACTCAGTTTGTAATAAGTTAAATTCCACTGAATAATAATTTAACCTTTTGAGAAGGCTGGAAGATGAATACCCCTTGTTTTGATTGCTGGGCCGCTCAAATGAATGCATATATCCACGAATAGCAGGTGTACTAGAACGATGCACTGGGTGCGCTGGAGAGGACCTATAAAAGAATAAACTATCCTTAGCCACCTTAACACTTTGTATTTGACATATGACTTTCTTGCAGTCAGTTTTCAGTTTTAATCCAACTTTATTTCACTTAATATAATCGTAAAATTGATACTATTTGCAGTCTTTTCTAACCCAGCACAAACTGACAATAAAGTACGAAAGTTTGGATAAAACCTCTTCTTTTTTGGGATGCGGAAAGAAGAAAGATCTGTTGCTCTTAAAGATCCATCATCGTCAATTAGATTTCTGGAAGCAACAGCTGATCCCAATGAGGGACGAAAAGTTGACTGATGACGGTTTCTTGAGGATGGTCGTGAATGTGATCGAGAACGAGAAGTTACTGATGAACCTGCACTTGCACTTCTAAAACCAAGAAGAGTACACTTAAAGAATTTCAAGACTCCCTTTTGGCAATATGCAGAGATTTTAAACAAATTTGAAGATGAAACAGGAAGCATACGAAAAAATGCCAGAAGCATATCATTTCATTTTATAGTATCTAACACTGAAAATAAATCTCGTTCGCCACATTTTATTAGAAATTAAAGTTTCAAAAAACCTTCTTGAAGCACTGCTTGTTGAGCTAGCAGTGTCCTGACGACATGTTTGCTTTTTGTTATTACCGGTTCGCCTAGTTTTTTGAAGTTCTGCCCCAAGTGTTAAAGATATCAGTTCTCTATCCTTGCTTCGGCCTTTTTTATGTGATCTTTCCCACGGATCGCGAATCTGGTCACCAACTGAAATCTGAGAGTATTTCCAGCCGAATTTAAATCGCGGCATTATATTATGAGTTCATTCACTTCCATGTCTGAATTGCATTTCATCTGATTTCGGAAATGTACAACATTTAACATCTAACAAATTTACAAATTCTATATAATGCCATGCATAAAACTAAAACAGTAGAATGAAGGCAATCAACACATCAACGAATTATATGCAATAAAAAAAGCTAACCAGAAAGAAGACCACCCACAGCACAAACACTGCTTCGTTTTCTATTCGCTTCTCGTCTATCTGCTAATAGTGGTGATCCGCGTCTTTTTCCTGCAGGAGAAAGCGAGCAACGTTGACCAGGTGAGTGAGAATTTCTTGGTGTTCGCGAAAGTGGTGAACGAGGGCTACAAGGTGGAGAATCACGCCGTGACACACGATAATGATCATTCGGAGAACTGGGAGAAACACAAGATAAAGTACAGCTATAAGGTAATGTTATTGTTAGCTCTATACAATACAATAATATTCATTTAAAATATTTCTAAGGAAACTTTGCCCATTCTGGAAATTCAAAGCTATAAACTTACATTTCACGTCTCGGGGGAAGTCCGTGACGTCGAGAAGTAGGTCTTCCATTTGGGTACAGAACTTGTGGTCCAAGATCTAAACATTTTAAGCTTTATTTGTCACACTGTAATCTAGAAAAAGCAAAGTAGTGCAAAAAGTAACCTTTAGGAGGTAATCGAGAAGGTTCATCACGTCCGTAATCATATCCTGAAAAAAAAAAAAAAAAAAAAAACGCAACTTTGCCTTGTTTCCTGTGATTTATAACTGCGTAGATTGCCTTCCCTATATAAAAAAAGCAGAACAAGACGTACTTCCTGAAAATCCAAAACGTCCTCCTTCGAGCATAGTATCTATTAAAGATGGAATTTTTCGAGGTTTTGCTAATTCATTTCTTTCGTAAATACCGCGATGTTCTAGCTCAAAATGACGATCATCTGAAAAAAGTGCATACCGATAAAGGAAATACAAAGGAAAGCCAAGCAATGAAAACAGGAGTTTATTCACTTGCATACTTGAAATAAAGCACTACATTAATTGAAAAATAATCAAGAAAATATATGTAAATTAGGGTAATGCTTACCACTGATATCGTCAGTTCTAACTGGGCTGTCATATTTCCTAAGCCTCGGATAAGGAACATCAACACGTGGACGTACAAAACCATTTAGTCCTCTTACAATGCCTCGAGACAACGGTGAGCGCGATGTTCGGTAACGTCCACTAAATCCACAAGAAAGAAATCAATACATTTAACTGAATGTTTTTTCCTGCATTCCACACAATTAGACCATACAAAACGTTCAAAAAAAAAAAAAAAATCATAGGATCAAAAACTGACAACAAGGTAAAAATATTCGAAAACATAAAAATTTTCAGCTTTATACATTTTACGATGTCCACGAGAATCGTCCGATTCTTCATCCGTTGTTCGTGGCCGATCCATATCTCCACTAGGGGCAAGTACCAATCGTTTACGATCAAAATCAGGCTCTTCTTCGCGTTTTTTTGATGCTCTCATCATTAACTGAATAATACATATTTCAACCAGATAACGTTTTAAATATTTTCGAAAATTTCTAACAAAATATAAGCTAAAAGATGATAACCTACTTCACGCGCCTGACGTAATCCTTTCTCCCAAGGTGTTTCATTGCCGTTTGACCTCTCATTTTCGTTCGATGTTGAACTGGACGGATAAACAGTGAGTGCATTGGTGTCGGCTAAAGTAATGATAAAAATTCAAAAATCCATATCCCGCTTACTTAGAGATAAAGGACTGAAAAATCACATATCTTCCGTTGAGTAACCTTAGACCAAATTTTCAAAATTATGTTCAACACCAAAAAAAATATTTATGACCGACATGATGATCTAAAGCTTAATGTAAAGCATAGTTTGTTGAATTCTTTACTTTTGGTTCTTCCTTTATCAGTAGTATTCATGCGCTCTGAGTAAGTACTTTCATTTGACGAACTTTGTACTGGTGCCGAACCATCAAGTCGTGACTAAATGCAACAACTGTATTTAGAAGAAAAAATTATTCTACTCATTTGCGTGTTAACCTAAATAACTAAACATTTTTTTAGAGTCAGACAAGAAGTCCTTTACGAGTTTAAAATATATTTAGGCTTAGGTATAAGTTATGTCAAATATGACAGCAAAGTTTTCTACGTTGCAATGTTTCACTGATACAAATGTACTGAAATGATGGATGTTCTTTCGTAACACTGTTTGGTACCTCTTTCATATGCAGATATTTACAGTCTGGTCCCCATGTACATGTTCCACGAAGATAAAATTTGCAAATGCCAACCGGGGCTGAACTGTCGCGCCATAAACGATGTGGAGTACGTTCCAAAACTTTCCCACGGTTTTGACCAACCTAAAAATTTCACTCAAATGTAATTCAAACAGTAGTATTTGTGTAATCAAAAAAAGGAATAACTAATTGTAGAGATTCAACAAGATAGCTACAGTATCCATTATAGCAATGCCCATTACTCTATTTTATCTCGAAAAATTTTCACAAATGATTAGTTTTTATCATTTCAAACCCTTCCCAAACATTTGATTTCGAAACTTCTTTAATAATCTCGAACAGCGGTAAGCTTTTATTAAATGGATTTAAAAATTAGGAGTTATAATATACAAGAAGCTGAACCTTCCATTGAAGAACATAATATTGAAAACAGTTTTGAAACTGAAGGATAATGCATGAAAAATAATATAAAACTTACCGACCTTCGAGTCGACTTTTCATTTGAATATATAGAACCCGTAACACTATCTTCATCAGATTTTAACTCGCCCTCTTCCAAGTCATCGATTTCTCCTTCCTCACTTAGCTCATCCTCCACTTCTTTTCCTGTACTAACTATAACTTTATGAATGCTGCTTTCATCACAATCAAGTCCACCAGTACTTCGCTTTACAAAATCCCCGTCATACCTATTTCTTTCGCTATTATTTGACACTTCGTTTTTAATCGCAGTGACCTGAAAATTTATCATATAAATAAAGGCGAGGCAATTTTTGAATATTTCCTAAAAATGAGCAATCAATGGATGAAACATATCAGAAAATACTTCAGACTGTTCTTCAATTCGTTCCAATTCTTCATCATAATCCAATTCAGCATCAACATCGGATTCCATTGCAAGATTACTGCCACTACTCCATAGTTCTCTTCCTGTATATGAATCTTTGTAAAGGGCTGACACAGTGCCATGACGAAAAGCGAAATTGAAGAATTCCAAAAATCTAACGAAAATTTGCACATCTTTAAACCCGTTTCTTAAATGCTTTTAAAGATTTCAACAAGTGAATAGCCCGACTTAACAAAATGCTAAGTACCATTGAAACTGCTCTTTGCTCCATGTGTATTTTCATCGCTGTTTTCCGAACTGCTCGAAATACCAACGCCATCCATATTGGGTGTCGCAGAAATAGTACGCTAAATAATTTAGCAACTTTAGTGATCACTGATAAAAACAGTAAATCTGAATGGGAAAAACACCAACTGCTTCAAAGATGCAACATGTATCGATAGTGAAATTTTACAAAAAGAAAATTTTAAATAGTCCCCTTGTGCATAAATATGCAAATATGTTGCAATAAGATAACAATATTAGGATGCACTTGGGAAAAGTAGTGACAAACTTTGGACTCTTTCATCCAGCTTATTTTTGTTTTTCAAGTCGCTCATGGTCCTACTTACCTGGCCTTTGTTAGACTGTAATTAGCTACTTGGTAAATTTTTTTCTTAACGATAAATCTGATCTCACCTTCATGTACATTTCATCTCATGTTCTCTCGCACCAATCCCACTCATCCACCAATTCAGTGAACAACAACGATCAATCTTCATGAACAGTATTCAGGAGGAAAATAAGCTGGAAGTTATTTCAAATATCACTTAAATTTGTCAAGCTATAATTCCCAAGTACATCCAATCTTAACACAATGGGTATGATGGCCGGATGATGAGGAGGCATGGCGAGAGAAATACTGAGAGAGAAGTGTCCAAACATAACCCCTAAAACGTGAGCCTCAATGTCAAGCGGTGTCCAGAATAAGATCAACCTTTGCGTTGTGATAGAGCCGGTATCGGGATTTAAGCACCATAAAATAAATGGTCAATGTACTTACATGCATGTGATTGATTAGAAAGGATGTATTAATGTGAGATGTTATTACCGTCATGAAGAGCCTTGGCTAGGACGGGCACAACAGTGCGGAAATGAGGAGGAGAAGACTTGTCGGTAAAGGATAGAAGGAAGCAGGCTGGCAGGAATCGAGCATAAGTTGATAGTAAAGCCTAATAAATCATAATCATTCGAATTATCAGATCATAACCATACATCACCATCAATCAATGACAATCGGTCGATACCTCCCAGGAGGGTGGGCTATCACCGGAAGAAAAGCACAACACAGTTGCAGAACTGGTACGGATGAATCGTCGAGGTATCGTCCAGCGACTTCAGAAAGAGGTGGATATGATGCGCTCCACTCAGTCCTCCGATACATACCGGAGGAGATTCCGGAGAAATCAATAACAGATACAATTGACAATGGGAACCGCAACGTCCACATGTCATCCGCACCAACTCCTTGCACATACGACCACTGCCTGCTCACCCTGCCACTATCGATCCCCTTCACGCCCACATGCACCCTCACATCCTGTTCCTCTCTACATCTCCTACCTATGTCTACTGCCCATACACACACACACACACAGACGCAATTCGTGTACAGACACTCCTCCCACGTATTTTGGACATTCACGCCCACGCACACGAATAGCGGTGTGAACAAGCAATGTAAGGTTAAGTGGTGAAGAGGAATTTACCATCCGGATTTTTGTAAGTAAATATAAGCAGACGTGAAGAGCATCTCTCTCTCTCTCTTTCCTGACAGAGCCTCTTCCGGCGTTTATTCCTTATTCCGCTTATTCTAGTTATCCACGGCTTTCACTCAGGTGACTTGTTTGCAGGACTTTGAACTTTAGGCTTTCAAAGATAGATTACCCAATCTTTGGTTCATTTAGAGAAGTGAGTCTTATTTGTCTCTTTTTCTTGCTGAGTTACTACAATTTCATTCCGGAAATAGTGAATATCCTTATCTACACTTTTTTACCAGGATGCTCCGGGAGTTGCTGTTGGTAGCCTACAGATTTTGGTAAAAATAGGCAAAAGTACTTCCGTTTCTTTACATGTCCTGTAGGCTTTTTATTTAAAATGGCTATTTCCAAATCTTTGTTTTTTGGAAATAGCCACTTTAAAAATCAGTCAGAATGTCGTTAGAACTACCCAAAATAGGTCAGTACAGGCGGTTCCCGTTTTCCTGAACACCACACTTCCAATGTGGAAGACTATCCAGAAAATACTCCACTCATTAATATGATATAAGTTCCTTAATCTAAAAAGTGAATGGCTAAGAGCATAGTAATGAAATAATGCGTAGAGGAAGCTAAAATCAGAGACAGGCGTATTAGTGACATTACATTGTGTGGGTGCTTTGGACGTTACGTGGGAAAACGCTAAAAAAATCCTTCGGATGGATGCACGTGTCAACAAATTAAGACGTAATCCACAATCATTCTTTAATAATATTATTCATAATGAAACTTTATTGAAATTACATTTCATAAGGCAGTTGGTTTTAATTTTTGACTTCAGTAAGTTATTTGGCAGTAAGGGCCGAGATTTCCAGTATCAGTTAACAGTGACAGCTCGTTCAGAAGAAGGTAAAACTCGACAGTCAGCAGGTAAAACTATGAATACTTTGAAACATTTCTTTTGAGAATGGAGATTCTTGAGAATTTTTTTTTATGTTCCAGTAATGAGCAAAAAACAATTTTTATCAATAAGACGGTTGTTGTTAATCAGAGATGACGAAATTAATGCAAATTTATGTGTACCCTGTGAAAGTTAATGGAGAAGATAGCTTTTTAAGATGGATTTCTTTAATGCTATAGTTTTTGACTAAAATTTTCCATCAATGCAACTCCTTTGATCTTAATTTTTTGGAGAAAGAGATGAACCTTCAACATAAAAGTAATTCTGTTATCCTTGACTATGAGACCATGCAATCCATATCGGTCAATTTTTTTCCTTCTTTGTAGTGACCATCGACAATTCACTCATCATCACCAACATTGACCGATGTTCTTCAAAATAGAACTGAAACATATTAATTTCAAGTGTCGATTTTTCACTGATATCGGTATCTTTGAAGAAATAACTACTAAATAATTCAAATACTTGCATACTTTAAAATCAAAATCGCTGTAATTTTGACAGTTAAGAAAAATGTTATCCTTCGTATATTAAAACTATAGTACCAAGAACTTAATGGTAAGGAAAAGACTTGGAAATGAAAACAAAATTATATTCAAAACTACTTCAGAAACCGAGAAAGATAAAAATATGAGAAAAATACTTTTGAACTCGAAAATATTTGTGGTTGATCAATTCATTATCTCCTTATTTTTCAAAATCTTCAAAATTGAATCTCGATTCCTGTTTTCGAAAGCAAATTTTACTCTCAATCAAACTATTTTCTTAATGATTTGACACTGACATCTATTAAGAACGAATACTGAAAAATACCTATCCTAACGATTCATCCAATATACTGTTGCTATAATGTGGGATTTAATTTAAGATTTGAAATTGTTCCCCCAACATTTCTGACATTTCCGAAACTTAAGTTTATTGAAAAGCGAACAGAGAAGACTTTATAGATATAATATCAAAAGAACAAAATACATGGTGATAAGTCGATAATTATGCTAGAATTAATAAACCATTAAACAAAATAACACATGCCTGTCTAATTATTGTGCCAAGCCTTTATATTACATCCTTGATATCATGAGACTTTGCTCAGCTTCAACTTGACAATCTATCGCTTATCAACAATTATAAAACATTCTCGAAATGCGGAAATGCGAGAACAGCATTCGCTCCACATTTTCCATGTCCATAGCCTCAGTTCCCTTCCTTTTACGTCAATTGACAATAACAGGTTCCAACCGAACAGTTTGTAGTTAACTGCCTGCACATGACGATATTTGCCATAAGGGCTTATGACCTCCGCACTCTGACCTCCACACCTTCATTCCTACAAGCATTCACTTGTCCACTTGCAGCCTCATTCCTTTCCGTACTATTTTTAAATTTACTATTCTCCTCTGTTGCTCTCTGCTTTCACATTCCTCTTTTCTCTAGCTGTAGTGGAAGGTCGCAGCAGGTTTTCCTATGTATCCCAGGTTAGAGTGGAGGTGTTTTTCTCCTCTTTTTTTTCTCTCTTTTCCTCTCTCTTTTGGTTACGGTTAATTTAAGCGAATCATCCTGAAATCCGTCATTTCTATGAGTTTCTGCTTGCCATTGTTCTGCTGGCGTTTTCAGAAATTAGCGCTTCTGTGTTGTTCACTGTTGCTCACATTATTTATTTATTATAACCGCCATTTTCCATCTAACGTCTGGAATTTTTCTCGATACCACCAACTGGTCCGTGACATCCCCGCTTGGAAAACTTTTCCAGTAGATGAGATAAATCTGAGGTTGCTTCGGGGTAATTCGGTCTTAGAAAAGCTTGAAACACAAATGCTCTCTCTGCAGCAGGAATTTACTCGTCTGAAAAAGAATTCGCATCCGATTAAGACATTACAAGAATTGAACGAAAAAAGATATTTTAGTGTAAAATACCAAAACGAAGCAAACCGGAAACGAATTCTAGTTACAGGTGGTGCAGGCTTTGTCGGTTCCCACTTGGTAGATCGTCTAATGATTGAGGGACATGAGGTTATTGCACTCGACAATTACTTCACCGGTCGAAAGCGGAATGTAGAACAATGGATTGGACATCCTAATTTCGAGCTTGTCCACCACGATGTGGTTAACTCATACCTTACTGAAGTAGATGAAATATACCACCTTGCCTCCCCTGCATCGCCAACTCATTATATGTATAATCCTGTGAAAACTATCAAAACGAACACCATTGGTACCATAAATATGCTAGGTCTAGCCAAAAGATTAAAGGCGCGTATACTATTAGCCTCAACATCTGAAATTTATGGTAATCCAGAGGTTCACCCACAACCGGAAAATTACTGGGGACATGTAAATACAGTAGGACCACGATCGTGCTACGATGAAGGGAAACGGGTCGCGGAGACGTTGATGGTTGCCTATCACGTGCAAGAGAAAGTGGACATTCGAATTGCTCGAATATTCAATACGTTTGGACCTCGAATGCATATGAATGATGGTCGTGTTGTAAGTAATTTCATCCTGCAGGCTTTACGTGGTCATCCGATCACTATTTATGGTGACGGGAAACAGACTCGTTCGTTTCAATATGTGGACGATTTAGTAACAGGATTAATCAAATTAATGGGAAGTAATTGCACGGATC